ATTTGAAAAATTTAATCAAAAATTTTTACACTGAAGTTGCCCATATTATTTAACAAAGAAATCTTTTTAAAAATTCTTGATACACACACACACACACACACACACACACACACACACACACACACACACACACACATATATATATATATATATATATATATATATATATATATATATATATATATATATATATATATGAAGAAAATATCTGGAAAAAAACAAACAAAAATCCTTAGAATGTGATTATGTTGTTTTAATATGAATGAAATGTCGACGTCTGACGTTTCGGTTTAATAACCTTCTTCAGGACAATATTCATTAAAAATATACAATACAATTAACATAATCAGTATAACTCGACGAAAACGATGGACATAAAAACAAGTCTTATCCAAAACAGATGAAAGAAAATTTTAAATGATCAGCTTTCCGTTTGAGCGTGGTCACGTTGTCGTCAAATGGGCGACGCTTTCAAAACATATTCTTAAAATTCTTATATATATAATATCATATATTATAAAGGCTCAAACACTAATATTCCGTGGTTATAGTTTATTACACTGGAATCGTAATTCATGAATTGGATTGTGATTACGATTCCAATGTAATAAATTATATATATATATATATATATATATATATATATATATATATATATATTGACCACAATTCATATATATATTTGATGTGACACAATATTATATATATAGACCGCTCAGTAAGAGTAGATTCGAACCCAATAAAAATGATCAGCAGGAGCTGCTTACCAGCCGTTATAGTCTGACATCGCTCTCTAACCCGGAGAAATAACCCGATTTCTGACCCGAAGATATAATCCAAATTTTAACCGGAAGAAAATAATCTGAATTCTCACCCGAAGAAATAATGCGAATTCTAATACGAATAAATAAAAACATAACGGAATTTATGGTGAATGAATAAGCTGATACTTTTAAGTTATCCCTGAGGTGAGAACGAATCTTGGTGTCTCCAAGACAAACAATGCGAACATAATCGAAAATAAAATCTAGTTTACGATATACATTAGCTTACAGGCTTGTTTGTTTGTTTTTAATTTTAGCTTATCGAAAATTTAATTTGAAATTCAGTTTAATTTTTTTTTCAGACTTCTTTTTTAGAATTTCTTTAATTTGTTCTTTTAAATAGTTCATGTCATATTATAGCCTCTATTTTGGAACGAACATTTCAGAGGATTTTTCTCTAATTGATTCGAAAGCATCAAGTATCTTTTATAGGAGACACTGAAGAATCATCTGGCATGGGCTTCGGAAAAGCCAGACATTCCCCAGAGAACAGGTCGAAGATTTTCTGTTTGGATTTCCTGCAAGAAAGATGATCGAACCGACGAGAAAGATCGGCATATTACTTTTCCTACTGTAAACGATTGCAGTTAAATTTTTTCTTTTATTGTTTAACTAGCAGCATGGCCCGGCGTTGCCCGTGCTTGATTCAAATATCGTACGACTCATACAGCAATCGCTATCATTTGACTTAAAATAATTTTAACCTTCCTTGCCTTTAAAAGAGGTGCACTTTGCCGTGCTTATGTTGCTACATGCCTTACTTCTTGCCTATCTCACACTGCGAATTTTTTCGAAGCTCAATACTGAACATTAAATCTGTTACGAAAAAAAGTACTAAACAAAATGAACACAAAATGATCAGCTTTAAAAAAGGACTCGTAACTGGAAAAACTGAATGAAAAAAGAATGTTAACAACAAATACTTTTTCACACCCAACCCAGTTCTGCGGAATCAGAATCAACGTTGAGTTTAAGCAAGCGAATGAGCCAATTGGAGTAAAGTGCCATGCAGATTTAAATTTTTCCCACTTGTGGCGAATGCAGCTACCGATTTTTTTGCATGCTAGCATGCTAGTTAACATTCATGTCAGTTAGCTGTTAGCTCTCATGCTGGCCAATAGAATCTTCTTGCCTATTCGTGGCAGCCAGCTATTGGCTCTCACTAGTAGAAAATGGCCGCAAACTACATGAAAACTGCCGTAGAAGCATGAAAAAATCGATTATTTCCACTATCGATGGAAGTTGGTAAATGCAAAGTACAGCCTACACCTTACGAAGGACTTTTCCTACGTAAAATATGTGTGATTTTTTTTTCTTTTTAAATTGCTCAATGATGCCATTTCAGACCTTAGGTCTCTGGTTGGGATCCAGAAAGTACACACCAGAAGGCAAAAGAAATAATAATAATAATAATTTACACAATATATTTCTGCATAATATTAATTATGAAATTTATTGTTCTTGACCTGACATCTCGGCTTCAGTCATTTTCCTACTACCGTAAAATGGCTTCCCTGTCCATTTTTATTTTTATTTTTTTACAAATATTTCCATGGTAATTGTCCTGATGGGCTATTCCTCTATGATACGTAGACTTTATGAATGTAAGCGCAAGGTCTCATCATTTTACAGGTGAAATACGTGTAGCTATATGTGCATTTATTAACAGAATTTATAGCTTTGTTTAACTACACTGAGCACTTTTTTGTTTGCACCATAAATAACTTATTTGCTTACCTGTATATGCATACTGTCGCACGTATAAACAGTTACTAACATCTCGTTAGATTCTATTTATATAAAGATAGGATAAGGGATCTATTATCCGAAGAAGCTTTAAATCTCTTTGAATTTAGCAGTAAGTACTGTCAAGAATCTGTTCAGTATAATGTTTTGGGGATGCTTTTCTTTTCATGGAAATGGTTTCTTAAAACCTATTGAAAAGCCCCTCAGGAGCGAGCAGTACAAGAGAATATTAGAGTCTTGTCTGCTCCCTTCTGCTGAAAAGGTGCAAATCGATCCCACCAAGCTCATTTTTATGCAGAATAATTCTCCCTGTCACAAATCAAAATTGATGAAGGAATACTTTGATGAGAAGCAGGTGGGTGTTATGACATGGCCGCCCCAATCTCCTGACCTCAACCACATAGAAAACTTATGGAGCATGTTGTTCAACTGCTTTCCCGAGAGCTTTTACTTTATAATGCTCCATAAGTTTATTCTTCGGATTTTAGATCGCTTATCCTTTGAATTTAGCTCAACTTTCGTTTCATCGAAGAAGAGAACATTTAGTAAAAAAATCAGGTGAGTCACTTTTATCGAACAGCACTGTATATATATATATATATATATATATATATATATATATATATACATGCATATGGTATATATATGGTATATATATGACAGGATATCCAAGATCCTAATGTACAGCCAGTTAGATCAGGGCTACAGGAATGTAGGACGCCCATGGCTAAGATACAATGACAAGCTGAAAAGCAACTTGACAGCAGTTAATATACCACATAACACCCTTGACTGCTTAGCTTTGAAGCGGGTAGAATGGAGATCAACGTGTTTTAGTGGACTCGGCAATTTTCAGTCTGCTTGTCTGAATCATCTTCAAGAAGCGAGAGCAAGATCTAAAACGTCAACCAATCTAACAGTAATCTGATCTCACAATCCTCGTTGCTCCATATGTGGCCTCCTTTGTAAATCACTAGCGGGTCTTAAATGCCACTTAAGATTATCACACAAAATTTCATAACTGAATCAATAACCTGTCAGATACTCATACGTCGAAACCGACGGGAGAGAGTCCATTATTATATATGTATATATATTATATATATGTATATATATATATATATATATATATAGAGAGAGAGAGAGAGAGAGAGAGAGACAGAGAGAGAGACAGACAGACAGACAGACAGACAGCGACAGAGAGAGAGAGCGAGAGAGAGAAGGAGAGAAGTGAGAGACTATAAGAAAGAAAGAAAGAAAGAAAGAAAAAAAGAAAGAAAGAAAGAAACACAGAGAGGACGGTGTTAAGAAGATTAATAGATATACTTTTTAATAGTGGGCCTTCAGACCAAGTACAAGCATGACAAGAAATGATATTAAAAATTGAATTTGAGGACATGAATGTATCTTTTCTCAACGAAAATTAAAAGGAAGTTGAACATTTTTTGCGCATGTGTTATGTCGCTGATGGAATCTAGTCATTATGGGATAGCTGCGTGTGTGTATGTGTGTGAGTGTATGTGCGTGAAATAAATATAAGTGATAAAATTGACAATTGATTACTGAAGCGTTTTTCTTCCTAGAAGGAAGATGTGTAACCAAAATGACAGTTTCATTGGTACTATCGATCTCACGTCAATAAAAAGAAATAAAATTGCGGGAAATACAATAAAAAAAAAATCGGTTAGAGTTTACAGCCCAACGTTGAAGACATAAAGACACTCAACATTTAAATTTTGACTTCCGATGTATGTAAATTTTAAACGTAGCCAACATTAACTGTGTTGATGGCCGACTCGGAAAGCAAAATACGGGTCCTACAAGACTGATTGGTAGATTTGAGTTGACTGATTCGTTTTTTTACCGTTTAACAACCCTTTACAGATTATTTCGAGCCAGAAAATATTTTTAGATTGTAAGATTAATTAACCCATACATGGGGAGAGAAGTGGATTCATACCTAAGCAAAATTTGATAACAAACAAAAAGTATAATGAAGATATAAAATTTGGGGTATCAAACGTATATTAAAATCAATATATAAACTGATCTCTCACTTTGTGGTCACATTAGTTTCTACACATTTATATTGCAGACACTTTAAATAAATCTAAAAGACATGCTTATGTAGTTAATCGTTATTCCATTGATTGATTGATCAATTCTTTTTTTATGTCTTATCAACCCTTTGCAAGTTTTTTAAAGCTAGAAAATGTTTTTAGATTGTAAGTTTTTTTTTATTTAGATAATAGTTATATAATGATGCATATCTTCCTAATTAACCCATAGCTAGGGGGAGAAGAGTTGGATTCCTACCATTTCCGATGGTATTTGTGCATAAATGAATATAACGAAACCAACTGGAATTGGAACTCGACTCTCCAATTCACAATTCTAAATACTATCCATCACACCACCCGCACATCTAAGCTTACAACAACTGGGATTCCTAAGCGGTCACCCATCTAGGAACTGACCAATTTCGACGTTGCTTAACTTTCGTGATCTTACGAGAACGGGTGTTTCAACATAATGTGGCCCCTAACCTCGAGGTGGTAGAAGAAAACGAAAAAGAAGGGCGAAGCATCAACTGCAAACAGACAGAAAGTATGGTCCTAAGCAAGCGGGAAAAACCCAATATACGTGTCCTGAATTGGAGAATTAAACGTCCAGCTCGTGCTTTAGTTAAAATATCTGGGAAGAGTGTTTAGAAGCAGATCGAAAATGCGACGCCGAGATCCAAATATTCACTGGACAAATGAAAGAAGTATTCTAAAGCTAAGCAAGGTACCCAATAAACGGGAAAAAATCGTTAGAAACAAAGAAAATAGTGATAAATTTGTATGTGAAACCCATCGTATTATATAACAATGAATGTTAGACAGTTTACCCAAGAACGAAGACAAAAATAGAGGCATCAGAAACGTTGTTCTACAGTAGGATACTGGGAATTCCCTAGATGGAGTGAACAAGCAAAAAGAACGTTTTAAATATAATGACAACAGAAAGAACACTTATACTCAAAATCAGGAAAAAGGCAGCTGAAATTCCTTGGACATATAAGAGGAAAGAATGCTTGGAATACTTAACCATTTCGGGGCGTTTGAGTGCAAGAAAAATAAGGAAAACCAATGAGTCAATACCTAACAATCTTGTCTGTATGGATGACGGAAGTCGGGACTCTTAGCAAAAGGAGAAAAACTCAATGGATAGGAAGTTGTGGAGAGGCATGTTCGTCTATAGCTTAAATGGGCCTGGCATATAGAAAACAAGAGATCGTTTTTCCATGTGATTCTAGTTGTAATTATGTGAGGAAAAGAGGTAAATTACTTGGGTACGTAATGAGGAAGTGGGGCTTGGAAAACTTAAAAGTATATTGAGGACAAGACAGGTGGGGAAAAGCAGAGAGCCACTTTACTTGACAAGTTTGTATGAATGAATGTGACTAAGACAAAATATATCGCAACCTCCCCTGAATCGTTCGAGTTGAAGTCACTCAACAACAACATCCATCAAAAAAGTTGAGGACTTCAAATATCTTGGATCTCAAATAATAGACTTCCAAAAAGAGTTCAATATCCATAAAACTATTGCATGGGATGCGTGGAACAAACTTCACGAGATTTGGCGCTCGAACCTTCCATCGTTCTTAAATGACCAAACTTTTCAAACATTTATTTAACCATTCCTAATGTAGGAATCAGGGACTTGAACATTATCTGCTCGTCTTGAAAGACGACTGGATGGAACATATACAAATCTACTTGGAAAAATCCTGAAGATCATCTGGAGATCCCATGCAACGCTTAACAATTTAAAGAGAACTGTTGTGGATCCGGGATGAAATACAGTCTCAAATGAATGACAAACGCAGTAATGAAATATAGTAAATAAATGTATTGACGCAATAATACAATTGGTAATACGGTTAGTAGATACAGAAATGAGGTTAGTAGCAATAATAATATATATACAGTCTGGGAAATTCAGTATCGAAGTATGACTTCCTTCTGAGTCTACGTGCTCGCAACTGTGACTCCTACAAAGCGGTTACCGCACACTCTCACTGTATCACTGTCACAGTGTATCTCTGTTACTCACTCTCCTTAGGTATTCACCGGCAGCAATACAAGTACACACTGGTCGAGTTCTCTTGTATGAAAAAGGGGTGGATGCCATAACAAGAACTGAGACCAATCTCTCTTACGCTAAAAAAAAACGATTATAGTTTTCCGGCCACTGCCTCCGAGCGGACAGGGAAATCGTCTCATCTGTGTTCCTATGTTATCGTTCTGGAAGTGCCTTCTCACGAAAATTGACTTTCCCAGGCGACATAGCTCGGGACTTACGGGTGGACATTAGAGATCTGGGGATAGCTATGCAAGACCGAACAGTGTGGAAAGGGATTGTCAAAGGAGTTCCGATCAACCATAGCGAGGTCGAAGGTTGAAGGTGATATTGAATGAATAGCCAAACGGAAATGCGTGCCTTAACAAAAAAAGTAAAGTTGCTAAGGGTCACATAAGATGTGGCGAGGAATGGTCGCCTATAGTTTGAACGGAGGAGGCAGGTATAAAAAGAAGGCTGTTTTTCCAAGTGATTCGAATTTTGTGAGGAAAAGGGGTACTTTATATAATGCTGTTAGTAAATCGGCTGTAGAAGACCTCGAAATGAACGCACCCGCGACACAATTTATCCCTAATAAACACAATTCTCTTTTAATTGGAATTTATCTTTTAATTAAAATATACTCAGATCATTTGTAAACATGTATACCGATGATACGGCGATATACAGGCGAGAATCTAAAACCCTTCATGATCAAAGTTTAATAGCTGATCTCCCACCCGATCTATCACTAACTTCTCAGTGGAATGGGTGGTTACATTCAATGTCTCAAAAACAAACTAGTTACATTCCATCATCGTCAGTCGGACCCCGAACTACCGCCAGTTACGATGAACGAGTACTCCCCGGGGACTCTCCGTGCCTTGAAAGACTATTGAGCCTTAAACTCACACTTGACCTCAAATGGAACCCGTAGAAACGACACATCGCTAAAGAAGCAGGAAAAATAGTTGGCTCCCTGTACCGCCCCAGTAAGTACCTGAAACACCATGCTTTTATAAGGGCCAGATTAGGCCGAGAATGGAGTGCTGTTGTTATATTTTGGCGGGAGCTACCCAAGGATCACTTTCCAGTCTCGATAGAGTTCAAATGCGTCTCCGAGGCCTTGTCGGTGACAAATTATTTTCCACCCTCTATCCTCTCTCTTTGAGGCGGGAAGTAGTAAGTCTATCACTGTTCTATCTCTACTTCACGGCTAGGACCCGCCCTGCCACTTCCATTATATCAAATCACCCACATTCCCTCCGTAGTCTATTGGCGAGAAGAAAGTTTCATTTGAACAGCTTCTTCACATGAACCACTGCTCTGTGGAACCGATTCCCAATAGGATCTTTCCTCGATCACTACAACCTTAACCTGTTCAAGTCTAGGGTTAACCCTTTATCTTCCTCTCCTATTCTTATAAATTGTAGCCCTCTACCTCCAGTGGCTCCAAGGCCTTGTACAAGGCGAGCCTTACTGTAAAAAATTAAATAATTAACTCTATTGTTTTCGTTGTAAATATAGTTAGGTCTCTTACGATGAACGTCTTCGAAAAATATCTGATAAGTTCATGCTATATTTTGTTTGACTTTCTAGGAAATAAATTCCCCGATCTCAGAAAATTTTGTCAGAAATAATTAAAAAAAGAATAAAACATTTAATCAGTAAAACACATAATTATAAGAATATTAAACCTGAAGATGGAAAATATCACATCGAAACAGCTGTGAAAGTCGAGCATCATTTCGTCCGAGGGAAAGAGGATGCAGGGTGGAAAATAATTTATTAGCCACAAGGCCTTTGAACTCTATCGAGGCTGAACAGTAAATACTTAACAGAAGTAGACTAAATATATATCTATACACTGGAAGGGCACTTCGACGGAGTTTCACTAGATCTTTTATGGCTGAGTAGTGGGTTCGATCCTTACTAGTTGCCCCATATTTTCAACCTTGCACTACAATTAATCTTCGCTTAGTAAATAACTATATGTATACACTAGAATTATTTCCACTATTTACATTATTCAGACTATTGTCCTCATCTTTGTCGCCATATCTATTACAACGTTTCGGCCGTTGTACGCTCCGGCCTTCTTCAGGTGGTTGGAATGTCGAACGGAACCCTTTATTTCGCTCACTGGTGCATACTTTTCTATTTCCACGTGCCATGCTTAATGGATAACAGTTATCAGTTATCACCTGTTAATTTTCCCTCTGAAAGTTCTCCACTGCCTTAACCGGATATTGAACTCACACTCTTTGGGCCCTCTCAGTGGATCTAACTAACGCTTTTATCCACTGTGCCATGTTTCCATGCTCGAAAAGCCCCGAAGACAGCAGCACACCCAAGAATTCCATTTATAAGTTGCGTAATTTTACTAGGGATTGCCCTCTTTCTATAAATATTTTCATGTTAGTCATTCTGAACATGCCTCCATGGTACCGTGATCTTATGAATTTAAACTCATTACTATATTGATGCCAAGGTCTCATCATGTTACGGTTAAAATGGCTCGATATAGCCGTAAGTTCTATGCTAACAGTTTCTTCTCTCTCACTTCTCGCTTGTGGAAATCACTTCCCAGTAAACTTTGATCCTCCAAAATTTAAATGCAATATCAATCGTCGTCATCTGTCTTCTTAAATCCCTATTTTTTGATTGTTCTATCAACTTTTTCTCATATTCTTGCAGACTCATCAATTTCTTGCGTCTTAGTGGATTTATTGCCTTCCTTGTGGTGAAATGATTAAAACATGTCAAAGTTCTGTAGTTTTCCTCCTGTGTCTGTCACGAACAGTATCACTTCTCTACTACTGTTACTTCACTTTTGTATCGTGTACCTTCAGGGCGTGGGCGATCATGGTCCTTCACAACTTCCTTTTCTTTGTAGTTCCTAGCTATGATTGTATTTTAGTCATTTCTAAGTCCTGTTCAGCCAACCATTTACACAAGCAGGTTAGGTTCGTTATTCGTTGCTTTTTTTGTCCTTCTTCCTTTCAGCATATTCACTCACAATTAGTTACCTCTTGCGTCTTAGTGGCTTTATTGCCTTGCTTGGGTTTAAATGATTAAAACTATGTGAAAGTTCTGTAGTTTTCCTTCTTCGCTTGCTAACCAACACAATTGGATTTCTTCTTCTGTGTACCGTTTTCTTTCAGGGCGTGAGCGATCACGGTTCTCCACAACTTCCTCTTCTTTGTGGCTCTTAGCAATGTTTGTATTTTGTTAATTCGTCTAAGCCTTGTCCTGCCAAACATTTACACAAGTTTGTTCGGTAGGTTATTTGTGTTTTTTCTCTGTCCTACGTACCTTCAACATACCCCATTCTCTTCTTTATCTTCTCATATTCTTTCACGCTCACGTCTTAGTGGCTTTATTACCTTGCTTGGGGTTAAATGATTAATAATGCTCGACTTCATTTTCTCAG